TTGTTTCTTGAGGGTCACAGTCCAAATTTCGGAAGCGAAATGTGTTCAAAGTAAGACAACTACAAACCATTTAGTTTTCAAATCTTTTGTTTCCTCTGAAATCTCCCTTCTTATGTGAAGATTGACATAAAAGAATGCTTAAAAGATACACAGTGCTCTACTTTGTGACATGAATCTGAACAAGGTGATTAGCAACTGAAAAGTCCAGTTACTCTTTTAGGAAATTATGCTGTGCTTCCTGACACAGAGTTCTAATAAAATATATAACCTATCTTTTGTTACAGAGATAAAACTAACCAATATTCTTATAGAAAAAAGACTCACTACCACCCAAATAAGACACCCTTGACTTCTAGAGGGGCCTGCGGGCTTAGCACTTTGAAGTCCTCTTTTGACTTTCCATTTCTTCTGCTTATTCCCACTGGTAAAGCTGATTATGTCATAACTGCCTTCAGAAACAGATAATGAGAGACGAGCACTAAGCAGAAAACAGAGCAAAAACAAAACCACAGGAGGCACATAAAATCTAGAACTCGGTTGACCTTGCTCCAGACCACACAACTACAGGAAAATAGCCATCAGTTCTACCTTGGTGTTCCCAAATTGGAAAGGCAGAGGGCTTTTCTTTTTTCCTTTTTTTAAGCAAACAAAATATTCTTTCAACTACATGATGCAATCCTCTTTATTATATGTTTAATAGCAAAAACTAAAGAGAAAAAGCCTCATAAGAGACATCAGGTCATTCAACTCAGGTGACTTCTGGGAATGGTAAACAGAATAAGCCCACAATTAAATGGGAAATAGGTGGAATAGATTTCCAGTGTATAAAGCATAACCTGCACAAACAATAGTACTTACTTCTGAAAAGATTTTAGAGGGAGCTTTTTTGTTTTTGTGGCTCTTGTCCTGCTCAATAAATTTTGGTTTAATTATTCCGCTAGATGTGAAAACATCAATGGCTTCTACTCTTCTAGTATACAGTCTCACTCAAATCAAATTTAAGGAATGGATTATCATTTTTTTACACTTATGCCAGAGAAGATGTTTTTAAACTTGGATGCCCCTCAGCCTATGCAAACAACTAACTCAAGTAACTTCAACAAAAGCAAATCAAAGCTCGGACTTTGGTGCGCATGGCTTCTCAATGCCATCCTTTTTGCTTAAAAATAAACTATTTTATACCAAAATTACAAAGAATAACTATACTACTTCCTTAAAAACAGATCTACAATCACAATAGAAAGATAAAAGTTATATCTTTATAATTAGATCTTTATATCTTTATATTAGAAACTCTGGGCTGCCCATCTTTTTCTACCAATTTAGCAGTTAAAAAAAAAAAAAAGATCTTATTTAGCATTCTCAGAAAACTTCTAGTTGTCACTCCCCACCCCTGCTCAAATATCCCTTGCTTCTTGCTGCAACAGACCCCTGACTGTGTGTGGTGACCGGCAACTGTGTTTCAGTGAAGGTAAACAAGGGAGCTCCTGCCCCAGCTTCAGCTCCAGAGGTCAAGCTCTAACCATGGAAACGTGCACCAGTGCTTTCACTCCCTTTGATTTTGACATGGGCAGAAGACTAGGGCAATTCAAGCCAACATGATCAGGGATCTGTCAGGAGGTTATTAGAAAAAATGGATTTGCTTTTACAAAGAGCCACAAAAAGAAGACAAAGGCCCTGTTCCCTTTCCTTTGTGCAGGGATGTGGCTCTGAAAGAAAAGAACAAGCTAGAGCACAGAGCTAAGATGGTCTTGAGGAAGGCTCCCTGAAAAAATGTCAGTGAGGTGGCTAAGCTACACACTTACCCCCCAGATCCTCCCTAGCTCCACACTTCCTGCTACATACATACCAAACATATCCTCATTCTAGATTCCAGGTTGACTGTTACCTGTCCTAACTTTTATATTAATACGTTGAATGTTTCTAGGTACCAGGCCTGAATCAAGCCCTTGGCGGGTATTGTATCACTTGACCCTGCAACCCAAGACAAGGTCTACAATTATCCCCATTTGCTGGATGAGTAAACTAATGTATGGACAAGGAGAGTAATTTGCCCAAATCTCATATATGGCAAACAGCTACTAACTAGTCAGTCTGACTCCTGGGCCCATGAGAAATTATGTAAATCTTAAAAACATTTATGTCAAAGTAATTATGATACTAATATCAATTAGTTTAAAAATCTGTATTATGTTGAGAAAATTACGTTTTCTTCATAGAACTGCCATGGTTGTTTGATTATTTAAAATTATTTGCATCACACAGTGTTTGTATGCTAACACTTAATATATGTAAATCAGGACATTTCCTGTGCCATCAGGGTGTGCAAGGCGAGCTGGCCCTTTTTGCTGTTTCATATTTGAATACCCTACATCCACAAAGTTACTTTAGAATCTTTATGCCACAAAACAGACTGAGATGAAATATGTAAAACACAATTTCTTTCCACAGCTATCATTAATCTAAATTGAAAAACAATTGACTCCATTTAGTTAACAAAATTATCAATAATTTAAAAATTACTAAAGCAACTAAACTCTCTCTGAGCACTCACCTTGTTTTCCATCCATAGGAACTTTTTAAAGAAAATAAGTGACCAACAAAACAAACATGTGGCTTTTTATGTATTAAAAGCACTGAAAGATACTCAGTATCACATCACCAGGGAAATGTAAATCAAAAGCAAAGTAAGACATCACCTCACACTGGTAGGATGGCTGTTATCAAAACATCAAAATATGGCCGGGTGCAGTGGCTCACGTCTACAATCCCAGCACTTTGGGAGGCTGAAGCGGGTGTGTCAGTTGAGATCAGGAGTTTGAGGCCACCCTGGCTAGCATGGTGAAACGCTGTCTCTACTAAAAATATAAAAAATTAGCTGGGCATGGTGGTGCTCACCTATAATCCCAGTTACTTCCAAGACTGAAACAGGAGAATCGCTTGAACCTGGGAGGTGTAAGTTGCAGTGAGCCGAGATTGAGCAACTGCACTCCAGCCTGGCCAACAGAGCAAGACTCCATCTCAAAAAAAAAAAGTGACAATATAAGTGTTAGTGAGTATGTGGAGAGAAGGAAACCCTGGTATATTGCTGGTGGTAATGTAAATGAGGACAGCCTCTATGAAAGTATGAAGTCTCCTCAAAACATTTAAAAACAGAACTACCATTTGATCCAGCAATTCCACTTCTGCATATATATTCATAAGAAATAAAATCATGGTATCAAAGACATATTTGCACTTCCACGAGCACAGAAGCATTATTCACAATAGCCAAGATATGGAGACAACCTAAGTGACCTACAACAGAGGAATGGATAAAGAAAATGTAATATACAGAGTGTGTGTGTGTGTCTGTATACATAAATGTATAAAACAGAGTATTATTTGGCCTTTAATAAAAAAGGATATTCTGACATTTGTGACAACGTGGATGAACCTAAAGGGCATTATGCTAAGAGAAATAAACCAAACACAGAAAGACAAAATCTGTATATATGATTTTATTTGTAAGTGGAATCTTGGGGGGAAAATATAACTCATACTAACTGAGTAGAATAGCAGTTACGAGGGAATGGGGTGTGGAAAAAGGAAAAATACTGCCATGGGTAAAAACTTTCAATTGCACAATCAATGACTTCTGGAGACCTAATGTATAGCATATGAGTCTAATTATTTTTATACTTGAAATTTGCTAGGAGGCTAAGCACAGTAGTTCATGCCTATAACCATGGCACTTTGGTAGGGCAAGGCAGTAGGATCACTTGAAGCCAGGAGTTCAGAACCAGCCTGGGCAACAAAGCGAGACCCTGTCTCTACAAAAAAACTTTTGATTAGCTGGCCATGGTGTAGTCCTAGCTACCAGAAAGTAGTAGTCTTAGCTACCAGAAAGGATAAGGCAGGAGGAACACTTGAGCCTAGAAGTTCGAAGCTTTAGGTAGCTACATCTGCACCACTGCACGCTAGCTTGGGTGACAGAACAAAACCCCATCTCAAAAAAATGAAACTTAATTTAAAAAATATTTTGCTAACAAAGTAGATGTCAAGTGTTTTCACCACACAAAATTATATCTACGTAATGTGACAGATGCATTATCTTCATTGTGACAATCATTTTATTAATATATACACATATCAAAACCTCGCACCGTACCCTTTAAATATATACTATTTTTATTTGTCAATCAAACTTCAATAAAGCTAGGAGAAAACACAATTAAAATTGCAATACTGGGATTCCCTACTACAAAAAAACCCATTTTGAGTAAATAAGAAAGAACTGAGGCATTAAAAAAATAACACTGAAAGAATTAACTCATCAGATACATGTTTAGTCTTCATAAGAAGGAAGGATTTCTCTAACAGTGATGTAACAATTTTGTAAACAGTCATTCTTTCCAAGGCAGAAAACAATTATTTCTGAGTGGTAAACAATTCTGATTTCATGAATTGTAGGTGGCTGCACTGCACAGTGAAACAGGTAACTCTGAAGACTGAAACCTAAAATAGGTCCTTGACATTTATAAAGGGATAAGTGCCCAAACTTGACAAAATACTGTAATCTAAATTCTAAAACAACACCATAGGATATATTTCTCTCTTACAGTGAACTTAGATACAACAGAAAGTTTTAATTTGCATCTTCAGATCCTTCGACTTATTACCTACCAAAGAAGAAAAGAACCTTGAAAGTCTACTCACAAACAGCATCATTCACTGCCAAACACCTGTCCCTCTGCAGCACTACAAATTCTAAAGTCCTGAACCTTCAGAATCTACTGCAAATATTCATAACTGCTCACAATAAATCTTTGATCAGAGACCGGCACAGAAATATCCTACATTTATGTTAGATAAACTCTGACATTGAGAATGGTACTTTTAAAGTTTGTTAGAATACTTTACTTTTAATCATCACCAATGATTGAGATGGGAGAAACATCTTTGGGGTATGGGATAGGATGTTACCGCAAGGATGCACATATAAGGATTTGTCATGTTACCTGTTCTTGCTTCTCCAGCCACTTGCCCACCATTGGGTGACTGGCACTCAGAGACGAGCGAGCATTGTCTCTCTGAAATTGGTTAGACCAGTTACTAGTATCCCGTGGGAGGCTTCTGTAGTTTTCATCTTTCTATTCAAAAAGAAACAAAAAGGCGTCTTGTAAAAAACCAGACCTTGCAAATCAGTAATGCACCTGGTTTTTCAAAAGTAGCAGAAAAATGATTCTACATATTAAAAATATCTTTCCAACCCTATATAAAATAGCTGACTGAGGACATTCCACCCAGATTAGACCTCAGAATTATAACCATACACACAAGGTTATAATTACAGGCCAAGGACAGGGAAGTATAGTAATTACAGCTGGAAGGGTGGCACACACACAAGGCACACAACAGACAAAACACTACATTTTGCACTCCTACCCAAATCAATCACCTAAGCCAAGTATGTGCACCGAAAAGTGAAAAGTACTTCTACACAGTACTTTCTCTCTCTCTCAACTATGGCATTTTCTCTTCTTTCCAGTCTCATAATTCAATTATGAGGTACCATATTAATTCATCAGAAATGTTGAAAATAAGGAAGACTAATAAATTTGCCTTTTCTTCAGAACTTATGGTTTTGTGATTTGGAGTAAGAGGTTTAGATTATCCAGGCTGTTTCTGTTACCTACTTCACAAGTTAGTAATCAGCATTAACTCAAATACCAAGAAAAAAAATTGGCCTATCACAGTATTTGTTAGATAACAGACACATAATTGTTAACTTTGACATGGATATGACAAGTGATGTCTTTATATAAATAAATATTTATCAACTAAGTTTTTAATACTCCCAGAACAACCAAATGCTACTTGACATTTCTTTTAAATAAAAAATTAAACTTCCTTTGGCTTAGGAGCTGTAAAGCTTCATTTCAATGTTCTAAAAGAAATGAGAAAGCTAGGATAAACTAAGGGAGTCAAATTTTTTAGTTCAATGATAAACTAAATCATCTCCTAAAAGAACAAAGTAAAATATTACCTTCGTCTGGACCCACTTAAATCAGTACACCAAGTTAAGAGAAGTACTAACATATTATCCTCAGTAACGCTGTTAAGGGTAATCTGGCTGTTAAGTATTATATGCATGACTGATACTTATTCTCCATGTGCTAAACTATATGAACACTCAGTACAAACACAGAAACAAAAAAGTGCAATGTTACAGGTTTGCAATGTATAGAACTTAGTTGTAGATCAGGATACTATTTGCTCTTCCTTCATGAGTCCCATTAGGGAATAAAACTTAAAAATGAATTAACAGTCTTGGATTTATGTCAATACTGGGACATATGTTCAAACAAAAAGAAACTGATAAACATTTACCAATGTAAACTTTAACATAAACCTTTACAAACTTTACGAATTAAGCTGCAAGAAATAAAATCTTTAAAAATTCAGTAGCAAGATTAAACTTTAGCAGCAAGTTCTCTTTACTAGAAATAGTGAGGAGAAGACATGGACAAAAACTAAAGAAGGAAGCAAACTAGAAACTAAGTTTCACCATATCTCAAGATACTAAGAGTCTCTCCTTAAAACTTGAGCTTCAGAAAAAAGGAAATACTGTTTCATATGATAGTCCATAAATATACTGATAAGAAATTCAGATAAGTCATAAAAGGTAGATAAACCTATTAATGACAGACCCTAAGAGAAGGAGGACTAAAAGTATACTGAAACACAAGCATAATTTTATGTCAAAAGTCTGGAGGGTATCATTGACTAGGAACCAGGCTTTTATACTCATTTTCCACCATTTGCGGTGATTATTACACCAACTACTTACTTAGATAATGAATAATTAAACCAAAAGTATTTAAAAAATCTATCCTCTCTTTTCAGTACAAACTATATTTCAGAGAAATCAACAGCACCAGTTGATGAGGGAAAACGGGGCTTTTCAGATGACTGCCAAATACTAACAGAATTAGAAACATGACCATTTTCAACTCTTCATAAAATAATTAATTCAGGCAAAGATCATACTAAAGCTATTATATCAAGAGTTGATACGTAACTGGGTATTTACATAGTGACAAAATATAACTTGAAAAGAAAAAGAATCACCTGTAATCCTAGCACTTTGAAAACCAAGACAGGTGGATCACAAGGAGGAGTTTGAGACCAGCCTGGACAATATGGTGAAACCCTGTTCTCACTAAAAATACAAAACTTAGCCAGGTGTGGTGGTGGGTGCCTGTAGCCCCAGCTACTTGAGAGGCTAAAGCAGGAGAATCACTTGAAACCCAGAATTGGAGGTTGCAGTGAGCCAACATCATGCCACTGTACTCCAGTCTGGACGACAGAGCAAGACTCTGTTTCAAAAAAAAAGAAAGGAAATGAAAAATGTAAATGAAAAGGAAAAGGTAATGAAAGGAAATGAAAAAATGAAAAAATGAAAAAGGGATAAAGGGAAAATAAAAGGAAAGGAAAGGAAAGGAAAAGGGAAAGGAAAGGAATCTACTTCTGAAATGAAGAGATCAGGCGCCACACAATTCTCACCTTTTAGTGTCCAGAATCCAGTATGCTAACGGTATCCACCCTCTGCTCCTACTGACTGAATCTGTACCATTTTTCTTCTTCCCATAAATGGTATCATTGGCGCTCTCTATGGACTGCTGATTATATCTCTGGACAAGCTCAAAAAGTGCACAATTTCACCATGTCCTATCCTGACAACTTTTAGACACAAGCCACAAAAAAGAAACTGTTTCCTGAATTCATGATCTCAATTTCCAACAAGAGGTTCCAAAGACTCCTTGAAACTGGGCTCCCTCTTTTGACTCAGGCACCCCTCCCTAAAATATTTAGAATTATCTTTAATCTTCTTCCTCCCTCTTTAATACACACAGCTGCTAGGTCTTATAGATACAAAATTTTTACTGATTTTAGTCCTTGGCCATAAACCTAGTAGTTCAGGATCAACTTGTCTCTTACCTGAAATTTTATGAGTGACCTTCTAACTGGACACAGGCTCTAGCCACATCCTCTCTAACAATGTTCTGCACCACTTGCTGCCAGAGTAGTTTCCTAAAACGTACGTTGGATAACATCATACCTACAGCAAGCACCGTAGGTAGACCAGAGGGAATTTCAGACGTTGGTACTTGCTGTGCCACACAAATTTCTTTACCTTCATTCTTGCTTTGAGACCTGGACTTCCAATACCGTTTCTTCTATAGAAACACTGAGCATTCTTCGAAGCCCAGTTCAAATGCTATTTTCTAAGAAGCATTCACAGATTCTCAATAGAACTAATCATGCCATGCTTTTTGTTACCACTGTATTCTAATTTTACTTTAATTATGGTCCTAACTTATAATTTTGTCAATTTTAAAAATTGCTATTTTTACTCTTACAGGGAAGCCTGGGCAGATCATCATTCACCTTTAAACCCAAGCACTTAGCACAGTGGCTTACACCAATATGGATGACTTTTTCATGAATATTTTTTATGTCCCTTATTTCACATGGTTTCAGAATCCTGGAATTTTAAAAGAACATTTTGATAAGTTGTTTTAAAATTTGTTTAGGGAATGCTTTAAAGAAGCATTAAGATAAACTTTAGTAATATTTTCAGTGAAATGTAATGACTGTATTTTTAGATTTACACCAAAAGATGCATACCACTGTTACACACCTATTTCAATTTCATGTCACACCTACAGCATATGATGTCTGGGGAAAATGCGATTATTTCCAATTGCAGAGAAAAAACAGTACACTGTTTCTCCATGTAAGTCAATGATGACATGCAGTACGTGCAGCACAGCAACACACAATAATAAGATTAAGAGACAGAATGCCTGAAGACGGCAAGGTCTGTGCTTTTCCACTGCATTTGGAGAATTCTACAATTTTAGATTTGTGGGATCAACTTGGAGGCATTCACGGATAAGAAAAATAAAACTGATGTTCACTCTCACAACAAAGCAATTTTCCTAATTAATGTAAAATCAATAATGAATCCACATATTAATGTATGTATAATGCATGAAAAGTTCAGTTATTTACAGCAATCTTAATCAATCAATTCAAGAACTTTTAAAATACATTATTAATTCTTATCAACATATCTGTTATATTTTTGAGAGCATATACAGGTCCTACTAGCATTTCAGTCATGTTTCTTCCTCCCATTCCCAAAGTCTGGCCACAGTCTAGTCCACTATCTACTGCAAACAATGTTACAAGTGCATACTGTAGGCCTGTGAAGTGGTGTCTCTGCATTTATGACGGAAGGGTATCCATAAACAGCGCGGCATACAACGTCTTAAGTATTTTCTACGGCACTATGTATACTAGACCTTCACCACTGTCCACTGAAATAGACATTATGCACACTATTTTCAACTTGAAAATATTTGTTTTAGTGTAAGTAACTGTTAAAATACGGCAGTCATAATTAATCTATTCAAGACTATAAACACTTATGAATCAAATTATATCATAAATCAAAAATTTTAAATCAATATACTTCATTCTAATGATTATAAAATTTACTAATCGCACAAATTAATGTTATTTAAGTCATTACTTTATCTAAAAGATTATATAAGAAAAATGCCATAAGAAATTACTCTCCATTTTTTAAATTAAGTTAATCTTCCACTTATGAGGCTGCCCCAAATAGCTGCTCAAGCATTATGCTAGGTGGGAAACTGTCCTTCTTGCCAAAAAAAAAAAAAAAAAACAGATGTTCCTGCTGTGATCAGGGATTTTTCTTATCATCTAAATATACTGCCACAGCATCAGGTGTGAAAAAGCCACTCCGGCTGGGAAATGCACATTAATTTGCTGCTCCCTGGTAGAGGTATCCTGGCTGTGGAGAAAATCTCTTTCAGGGTAGGGAAAGTAAGTGTCCTCTCCCCACCTTAGCGCCCCCCCAAGTTTATTACAATTCAGTAAAATCACACAGAACCCACCCAAGGCCTTGAGATAGAAGCTCGCTCCTGGCATACTAAGCTGCAACTCCAAGGCTTTATCTCCCAGAAACAGCTATTTAGCTGATGGTCAGACTTCTTGGCAAGACTACATCCCTATGTTGCAGAAGTCAGAACTGGGGTTTCATGAACATTATAGAAGT